ACCCCCCTGCCAGCCCCCCGAAGCCCCCCACGCTGCCTGCAGCATGCCTCCAGCAGCCAGCGGGCTTGTGTGCGAGCAGAGCAGCACTAATAAATCCCCGGCCATCCATCTTCCCCCGGCCAAGTTCGATCAGCGCGAGGGAAAGGTTAAAAGGATCCAGATGCACCTGAGCGGAGGCAGGCTGCTGCAGGCCGCCCAGCGGCCCTGGGGAAAGGTGCAGGATGGGGCTGTGAGGGAGGGAGCCCAGGAGGTCCCAGAGGGGCTCGGAGCTGCCCGAGGCTTCAGTCTCTCCAGAGGAGATGGACAAAAGCACCTCTGATGCGGACGAGGGCTCCCTCACCATCATCTCCCCCACCCCAGCTAGACCAGAGCCTGCTCCAAAGCCTGACCCTCCCAGGATCCAAGGCTGGATCCCGCTGGCAAAGCCAAGGCTCCATGGAATTCAGTCCAGAAGCTGCTCTGCCAGCAGTCCCAGGCTGGCCCTGAAGCTGCTCTTTGCCAGCACTTTACTGTAACAAACCATTTGTTTTACTCTTGCTCCCTCCCCAAAGACATTTGCTGCTGCTTATGAAAGTACCCATTAGTGAGATTACCGCTGCTGGTTCACCGGCAACTGGAGGAGCAGTTTGAAAGGAAGGGACAAGAAAGGCGGAGAGGAGAAAAATCACACGGACTAGCCCACAGACCGCCAAATCCAGCTGCCATCCAGGCGCAGACCCCCCAGCCACTCTCAGGCCTCAGTGCAGATCCCAGTCCCACCCAACCCTGCCTCGTCACGACAGCTCAGGCAGCAGGCGCTTGGTGACACCTGTGGGGCAGGGGACCGGACTCAACTGGGGAAGAATAAATAATCTGGCTCCCAATACTGGTGGCTGCCGGCAGGACGGATCGGCTGGAGCATCCCTGGGGTGGCCTTGCACGAAGGAGCCCCCGAGGACGGTCCATGCCACACAGTGTTTGCAGAGAAAAGGATGGAGCTGGTGTGACAGGACCGGAACCGAGGCCCGGAGGGATTTTGGGGCAGTGCTGGCAAGAGAAGTGGGGAGCGCTGGCCTCCCCATCCCAGAGGTCCCCTGCTTCCCCTCAGAGCAATGCCAGCCACGCCGGATTACCGGGAGCAGCCCTGCCTTGCCCAGCACAGCTCATTACCCAAGAGCAGCAGCCCAACTTCTCAAAGTCTACACGCCTGCCCATGCTCTGCCCCCCCTGGCCTGCCTGCCCCTGTCAAGGACAAGCAAACCTTGCTGGAAAAGCCCCCTGATCTGTCCTGCCTGCACAGCCACGCTCCCCTCGAGCCCTGAGCCACGCTCCAACCTCCCCGATCTATTTGCAGCACCATCATGTGGGGAGGGCAGCAGCTCCTGCCTCGCCCCCAGCCACCCGCTCTGCCCCGCGAGCAGAGGGACCTTGCTCTCCCAAGCACACCCGGCCGGAGGTTGCTGTCACGTCAGCTGCGGCAGAAAAGCCCATCTCATCCCTGCCTTGGGAAGGGAAAGGCTCAGGGAATGTGCTGGAGGGGTGAGCAGGGTGGCAGCAGGGAACAGACCTTGCTGGGAGGCTCAGGTCACTGCTCGGAGAGGTGGCGAGAAAGGCCAAGGGGAGACTGTGACCCGCTGGAAACCAGTGCTGCAGGGGGCTCGCTGCCCCAGTAAGGGTGGCACGGCTGCTGAAGAGAGGCAGCGCTGGGACGAAAGAGCCGCAGAGCCCCCGATGCAGGGAGCCTGGGCTCTGTGCGGGGACCCTCTGCCTATGGTTCAGCTCTCTGGTGGGTGGGCTCCCCTGGATGGCAGCTCCTGATCCACAATACAGCTCCCACCCCGCTCCCAGGCTTGGATTAAGCACGCAGCAGCAGGGTGGTAGTGGTGCCAGGGCGGTAGCGGTGCCAGGGCTGCCAGGGAAGCCAAATCCCTGCCCGCAGGATGAAGTGAGCCAGCAGAGGCTGCAGAAAGCACCTGCACCTCATGGCCCCGGCACCCAGCAGCACGGTCAGCCTGGTCCTGCTCCTCTGGGAAGAGCTTGCATCCATCTGCACTCCCCTGCAGCCTCAAGGAGGCTTTTAATGCCTGGCTTGCAGTGAAAGCGTGGCCCCCCCTCCTCTCATGACTCACACAGCTCAGGTTTTGCCTGCTCTCATCCTTCTAGTGCTCACAGAGCAAGGCTGGATGGGCGCTGCAGGAGGTCCCCATTAGAAATGGTCCTTGGCAACAAAAGGGAACAAGGAAAGGGTCTGCAGACAGCTTGGCTTTCAGTGACTGCCCTGGGGCAGCAGCTTGCCCACCTCTGTCCAGGGGCAGCATCACAGAGGAACAGGGTCTGACTGTCCCCACTGTCACCTTCCAGGAGGATTTTAGGCAGCACCCAGAGAGCAGCGCTGCCAGCCCCACCAGCCAGAGCAGTGCTAAGAGGCTGCAGACCACCAAAACTGTGCAAGAAATCCACTGCCAGCCACAGGAGGGCTAAGTCATCCACTGCTGAGGCACCCAATTGCTGATCTGAGCCTGTAAAGGTTCGTTTGCGTGGTTTGTTGGAGCCATTAGACAGAAATCCCAGACGACTGCTTATATCAGATTCACTTCAGGCCTAATGAGCTCATGGGTGCTCCTTGGTGGGGTCACAGAGACCAGTCTCTTCTCCAGACACATCCTCCCCCTCCCGCGGCCTCCCCAGGCGCTGGGGTGCATGTGGGGCAACCACTCCCTTTGGAAAACAGGATGGAAGATCCTGGATGTCCTCAGTGGTCTGACTGTCCCCACTGTCACCTTCCAGGAGGATTTTAGGCAGCACCCAGAGAGCAGCGCTGCCAGCCCCACCAGCCAGAGCAGTGCTAAGAGGCTGCAGACCACCAAAACTGTGCAAGAAATCCACTGCCAGCCACAGGAGGGCTAAGTCATCCACTGCTGAGGCACCCAATTGCTGATCTGAGCCTGTAAAGGTTCGTTTGCGTGGTTTGTTGGAGCCATTAGACAGAAATCCCAGACGACTGCTTATATCAGATTCACTTCAGGCCTAATGAGCTCATGGGTGCTCCTTGGTGGGGTCACAGAGACCAGTCTCTTCTCCAGACACATCCTCCCCCTCCCGCGGCCTCCCCAGGCGCTGGGGTGCATGTGGGGCAACCACTCCCTTTGGAAAACAGGATGGAAGATCCTGGATGTCCTCAGCGACAGGGTGAAACCTATGACTCACTCCCTGACCGTGCACAGGGGGGTTGTTAACAGGCACAGCCAAGGTCGAACATTACTCCAGACAGCTAAGGTGTCCCTCTAAGGCCTTGACCCTTCCTGCAGGCGTGAAGCAAGTAGCAGGGAAATGCCCGAAGTGCCCAGGGCGGCATCGGAGTGGCAGAAGGGAGACAGCAGCGGCCTTTGGCAGTTGAGGAGGAAAGGATCCTGGAGATAAGGACATGCTTACCTTTGTGATTCATCGTCTTCAGGCACTGCTTGCTCTGGACATCCCACAGCCGGACTGTTTCGTCATGCGAGCCGGACAGCAGCAGGCTGCCATCCGTGGAGACCGACAGACACGTCACCTGGTTCCTGGAATGGGGAAGAGGAAGTTTCAACGCAGGGTGACTCGAGGACTGCCAGAAACTGGTGCGGTGGGCAGACGGGGGTGATGGAGTGTTTGGCAGGTACGTCTGGTCCCTCACCTGTGCCCTTTGAAGATCTTCCCGTTCTCCCGCTCTGTCTGGAAGGTCCGGTCTCTCTGGACCGGCTGCAGAAATGAAGGAAGGAAGGGAGAGAGCAGTTTAAATTCAGGAAGACCAAAGCCAGCAGATTCATCACTGTGTCTGAAGGGGGCAGAGGAGATACAGGGGAACCCAGGCCCTCCCAATCCCTGGCAGGTCACGTAGGCGGGAGGTGACGGTAGACGAGGGTGCGATGCTGCATGACAGCAGCACCCAGCAGATCCGCAGCCCCATGCACTCACCCAGGCAAAGAGGTCAACCTGGAAGATGGATCCATCCATGCCACCACAGAACATGTGATACTCGGAGAGGTCAAGAGTCACAGCCATGATCCCCACATCGAAGAGGACAGAAAGCAGGAGCTCCCCGGATGAGATTTCCCAGAGCTGGAGTGAGAGGGCACAGAGGAATTAGGGGCTTAAATGTTAACAGCAGGACTGGAAGAACACGCTGCTGCTGATCAGCACCTGCCCAGTGCAAGCTGGCAGCACGTATCGGCATCCCCTCCTCCCTGTGGATGGGGAAACTGAGTCCAAGGCATAACCACGGCAGAGCCCAGGATCAGCCTCTTGGTGACCATGAGACAAGGTGGTGGTCACCAGGCAGCTCCAAAATGGCCCTTGGCCCCGTCCGGTGCCTGTCCTGCCCCTCAGGGCAGCCCCCTCCCTGGCAGGGCAGGAGGAGCAGGCTCCAGGCTGCTCTGCGCCCTGCCGTTTGAGACCGAAGGACATCAGTGAGGGGAATGAGAGGGGCTGACCCCAACATTCCCCAGGCGAAGAGGGACTGCAAAGCATGCAGAGGCCCGGCCCGAGGGCAGGTGCAGAGAAACTGCTGGTGTTTGGAAAGGCAAAGCCCATTAGGTCTGGTGGCTCTGAGTCATCACAGAGACAGCCAAGAAATTCAGCTACTGCAACCCTCACGGACAGCCCTGCTGCAGCCCAGCAGAAGCCCTGCTTTAACCCCCTGGGGCCCAGGCACCTCCAGGGCTCTCGCTCGGTGGGACTGAGCTGAGCCTTACCTTCGCTGTCTGGTCAAGGGAGGCCGTGGCAGCTCGTGCCAAGGGCCCTCCAAAGCCACAGCACAAGTCTGTGATGGGGAGGCTGTGTCGGGACCACACGTGGCGAGGGTCGGGGATCTGGGAGGGCTCTGCCTGCAGCACGCTGTAGGGGAGAACAGAGAGACAGGTTGGCACGGCAGGTCAGCAAGAGCGGCGCTGGGGATGCCAGAGCAAAGCGGCTCTGAGAAGAGCTGGCCGAGGCTCTGCTCGCTCCAGGATGGCTCTCCTGGCTGCAAGGACCAAGCAGCACAAAGAAGCCGTCAGTGGCCACAGCACATGCGATACCGAGGATGAGGGCCACTACTGAGCTCCCCATCCCTGAGGGGACAGAGACCTCAGCTGCCATTAGCAGGGAAAGGGCACGATCCACCCTGCATCAAGCAGGGAAAAGGAGTCAGAGCCATATGCCGAAGCTTGGGAATTGCAGATGAGGCTCTAGGAGAAACCTCTTGGGCAGCGAAGGTAAGAACAGTGGAAGAGCCGCCTAAGGAGGGCACAGACTCAGCAGCAGCAGCAGGCTTCACAAACGGCTTAGACACGCAGGCTTAGGCAGAGCTGATTCTGCCTCCGGGAAGCGGTGGCTGATCTCTTGTTCCAATATTCCCTGCCCAGATGCTCCCCGTCCCCCCTATGAAGGGGCCGAGACCACCTCGTGGGCCACCATTACCTGTAAAGGTTCCACACCAGGGCCAGACAGTCCTTCGCCCCCGAGAGAAAGTGGCTGCTGTCGTCAGTAAAGCAGAGGCATGTGAGGTCCTGGTAGTGCCGGTTCAGGATGGCTAGGAGGTTCCCGTTGGAGACCTAGCGCAAGGGAAAGGGCAGGAGAATGTTTAGACAGGAGCACCAAGGTGCCCTGGAACAGCGTAGCACCCTGCCCTCAGCGGCGGGGGGGGCAGCAGCCCCTGCAGCTCCGTCCCCAGCTGGGCGTTGCTGTGCCAGACGCGAGCAGAGCGGAGAGTCCCCCGCCGTGGAGCTGTGCAGAACAAGGTGGTGGCAAACAGAGTGAAAAGGGGAGGTTGTGCCGAACACATGAGCCCATTTGCACCTCGATGATGGCAACTGACACAATCAAGGTGCAACCAGTACAGCCGCAGACACTTGTGACCGAAGGTAAATATGGCAGAAGACAGTTTGAAGAGGTCCTGCCAACGTTAACTCTGGAACCTAGTGATGCCAGTGCCTTTTCTCTGGTCAAGACACAAGCATGCAGTAAATATTCCCTGTTTGCTGTTAACGTTACTCTGATGGCTTCTTCCAACCTCCCACAACATCCAGCAAGATGGCTGCGGGGGTTACGAAAGCCACAGGAGGCTGCGTGCCACCCCGGGGGTGGCTGCACTTCAGCACAGCTGCGTGGTCTCGGGCAGCAGAGGCTTTATGGTGGACAAAGAGTTCCCTAAAGCCGGAGCTTTTCTTGCTGAAAGGCAACACCGCCAGCAGGGAGGGAACTAAGGAGGCAGCGAGGGAGCTCCGTACATGAGAACAGAACCGACTGCCTCTCCTTGCCTGAATTACGCCTGAAAATAAACCCAACCTGCGACTCCGTGGGGGACGAGTGGTTTCACAGGGAAGGCACAGGGCTAGGGCTCTCAGGGCCACTGCCAGCCCTGCGATGGTTTCTGCGCAGCCTCTCCGGGGCGCCTGCTCCTCTGCCAGGAGGACCACGCTGCCACCCACCCAGGCAGACGCTCGGAAGCGTTTGCGAGGTGGGGCGGGCTGGGGGAGGGCAGGGAGGGCGAAGCAGAGCAGGGACCAGCTCGGAGCATCACCAGCGGGTAACTCCCACTTGCCACTGTCTCAGCCCAGCGTTCCTCATGGGGGCTTTCTGTCCCCCAGCGTTGCCACAAGCATGTTTTTAAAAGGAAAACCTGATTAATTAAGACAGAGCTGCCCACAGAATGAGGCTCAGAAACATCCCCCAGGACCGAGAGCTTCCAGGTTAGATGTCTCGGTGCCTGATCCTGGGGCTCGGGATGAGCTTGCTCTTTTATTTGCGTGGTGAGGCACTTAGGATGGAGCATAATCCCCATGCAAACACACCAATAATTAAAAATAGAAGGATGACAACCAGAGCACAGCAGTCTCTGCAGACATCCAGGCCACAAGCACATACAAATATTAGGCTAAAACGTGGAAGAAGTGCTAAAGGAAAGCTAGGTCCCGTGTTCCTGCTTTGCGGGAGCCACGCCTGACCCCCGAGGAAGCTGTGGCAGCTTGGAAAGAGAAGGGAAGAACAGACCTACGCCTCACCCTGCACCTCCCACCACAATTCCTTTCCGTCCCTGCTGTGCCGAGCCGCCCCATGGTCCACATGCCCACGGAGGTCATCGAGCAGCCAGCCCCCAACACGGAGCCCTGACGGCCCCAGCGACAGCTGTAACGTACGGGACCCAGCAAAGCCTTCGCCCCACCGCAGAGCCCAGGTGTTGTGGATTTCCTGACCCGTGATGGGACAGGGGAGCTCACAGGGTGCAACTCTCTATGGCCCTGCTCCCCGCGCCAGCCCCTTACCTCCCACAGGTAGATGCTCTCCGCAACCCCAGCCAAGATGTAGAGCCCGTTGGGGGAGGCTGTCAGGCAGGTCACCGGCCCGGGGCAAATGATCTTCTGCTGGAGCTGGTCCTGGGGGCAGAATGAACACAGGGACCCTCAGGAGGGGCTGGAGTGTGGGAGGGAGGCACAAGACCCTGGATCAGCTGAGCCGGGCCCATGGGAGAAGAGGCAGCTCAGGCAGCATCCAACGCGCTGTGCCTGCCTGCGGCTGAGCCATGCCCGCCCGCGGCTGAGCCGTGCCCCCGACCCCCATCAGCACTGCCGCAGTTTGGACATTCAATGCTGAAGAGGAAGATGATGGAGGAGCACAGCCCACATGTGCACGTCACACCGAAACACTCTGCACGTTGCTGGGTGTGTCGCAGCTGCTTCGTGTTCAGCCCTGCAGGGAAAAGCTAAATTCCCCTCCCACCCCCCTCCACCCGCAGGACTCGGGCCGCATGCAGCAGGAGGGGCACCCAAAGGCAAGGGATCTGGATGTGGGTATGGTCCACAGCTGGGGAGCCCTGGAGAAAACAGGCTCAGAAGATTACAGCAAAATAACGTTGAGAAAAATTAAGGAAAAGAGGGAACAAGTTCACAGCCTGGGAGAACCAGCAGCTGGTGCGAGAGCAGCTCCTCACATCTCGGGGGAACGGGGAAAATCAGACCCCGAGCTGTGGCAGCAAAGGGGCTGCGTGTGCCGAGACCCGGGGGCTGCCGCTGCTCTCTGCGGCAAAGCCGAGGGGCACGACAGGGACAGGAGCGATTATGGCTGCATCCGCGGCTCTCCTGCCCTGGTTGCAGGATGCAGCGGGCGGGAGGAGGGGTACGGCTGCGTAGGGATGGGTGAGGCTTGTCCGGCTGCCTTTGGGCTTCCATTTTCAGCTGGAAGGTGCAGAGTGAGGCGATGGGAGGCTTCAGGCGAGGTGGGCCCAGCCGTGGGGCACCCGCATTCCCCCAGGCTCTGCCCCCATGGGGCTGGGAGCCACCCTGGGCGCTCTCCCAGCCTCGGGAAGGGGGGCTGGGGCCGGGGCCCGCAGCGGAGCCCAATGGCCGATTCCTCCCGCAGAAAACACCTTTCCCGGTGGTTCCCATGTGATCAGCCAGGACCCTGGGGAAGGGAGCTGGGACTTAGGGGTTCCATGACCCGTGGGGGGCAACATACAAGTCAGGGAGGGGGGGCTGCAGGCAGGTACCCCACAGATGGGGGGCTCAGGGGCGTCACAGGGGAGGTCTGTGCAGAGAG